TACACAAGAAATATGCCTTCTCATGAAGAGGAAGATAAGCCATGCAGAGCTTGTACAGATTTTAAGACATGGGCTAAGCAGCAGAAGCCCAAAAAAATAACAATCAGTCCCCCAAATGAACCGGTAAGGTTATAAAATTTAACAATATTATCAATATATTATTCTCCCTTTTAAATACGATAGAGAAAAAAGCAATTACTCTTTTTATACATATTAAAAACAGTAATTGTAAGTATTTAAATTATCACAAAAATGTATAAATGTTAGTAAGTACTTAAAATCTTCTGGCGTTTTTTTTTTTTTTCTTTTTTTTTTTTTTTTTTGCTTTATTAAAGATCTTTGCTAAGTAAGTCTTTAATGACTTAGTGGATTTCACAATGAAGATAAAAGTAAATTTTGTTTTTATTATGTGAATTCAAGTAATTTTACAGAATCCTAGAAAAAAATGAATTAGTCATACAATTGATAGTAAAGTGGCAGTATAAGAATATCCACTACCCTCTATCATTCCACATGTTGTAAGAGGCTACAGGTGGAAACTGTAACATAAGATGTACCGCAGCATCTTCCTGAAAACAATATAAAATAACTGGTTGCTAACCCATCTGCCAAGCATGGCTTCTATGGCAAAATCCACCCTATAAGTATATCTACGGGGAAAACTTTAAAAGGCCGTAATAGAATGGCATATAACAATATAAAAAAATAGTATCTTACTTCTCTATTATTTTAACTTATATACAGTAAGAAAAAAAGCTTTGTTCTAGTCGCTGCAAAAGCGAAAAGATTGTCCTCTGGACAAAGATGAGTTGGGTCGGTCTACTTGGGGCCTTTTGCATTCTATGGCTTCATATTACCCTGAAAAGCCTACCACATCACAGTCACAGGACATGGCCAAATTTTTTAACATTTTTGCACAGTTCTACCCATGTGAACCATGTGCATTAGACTTCCAAGAAGAGTAAGTATAGTTGATGATTATTTATATTACATAGACAAATGATTTTACACCTTTATCCATCCTTCATAAAAAAATAAAAATCAAGATATTATAAAATCATAGTCACCAGTTAACACAGATGCTAATAAAATTTATTTATTTACATGATCATGATTTTTATTATTAAATTGAAGTGACAAATAAACTTACAATCTACCTAATAAGTGGCTACTGATTGTCGTTGGGTGCCTGCAGCAAACTTACAGAGAAAGGTTTTTTTAAATGGCTTCTCAAGGAGTCATCCTAATAAATAATAACAATGATACACTGCAAATTTACATACTGGCATATTTTATCGCATTTACTACGAGTGCTCTCAGGAATTGTTTGGACTATTTCCAGCTGTACAATATTGCACATTGCGACAAAACTCATGATACCATCCATACCATATGGATGACTGGTGGTCCACCACTGTGCAATTTAAAAAAAAATTCTTCCTTGCACAACTGCCTTGTGGAATCAACTACCACTAGAGATTTTTCTGGACCAATACAACTTAGGGACCTTCAAGAAAAGAACCTACTCCTTTTTAAAAGGCCGGCAATGCATCTGCAATTCCCTGGTGTTGCAATAGTTCATGGGCGGTGGTAATCACTTACCAGCAGGTGAGCCGTATGCTTGTGTGCCCCCTCTCCTATAAAATAAAATGGCAACATAATACATGGAAGACAGAAATCTGGATGTGTTAATGTTTTGAAAATATTTTCTAATGCTGATATTAGGATCTTTTCCTATGAAATTGCCACTTTTTATGAAATAAGTTAACATATTTTTTTCCATACTTTTTATTTCTATTATTCAAAGTAATTACTAATGCAATCGATAGCCAACACACTGGCAGTTTATTAATGCCATTCTTGAAGAAATAAGCTGGATGGGAGGCAACAAATTCTTCAAAGGCGTATTGTACTGCCTTTCATTTATTGAACTTATTTCCCATCAAAAAGTTGTCCAAATTCTGGAAAAAGTAAAAGTCTAGGCACAAGGTCTGGTGAGTACAGCAGACTACGGAAAGCTTCTAACAATAGCTGTTGTAACTTAAAGACCCTCTGGTGTGACTGAACCTGAGGTCGCACATTTTCGTGCAGAAGCAGCGCGGACAAATAATTGACCAAAGCTCGTTGAAGAGTATGTGCTTCTCCATCATTGTGTTCAGTTATTTACACTACATATTTGCAGTAATGGTCATCCCATTTTGTAAGAAGCTGTGATGAATCACATCGGCACTAGACCGCCAAACAGCGACCATAACTTTTCTAGGGGTAAATTTTTGTTTAGGATATTGTTTAGCTGCTGAACCAGGAACCAACCAAATTGATAAGCACTTGCGATTGTCAAACAATCCCTTTATAGCCCCACAAACAATGCAGTTCAAAATTCCTTCCTTATGTGCCTGTTGAGCAGTAGTCATGGCTGGATTTCAATGCGTATTTCGTGCTGGTGATCATGAGTTTGTAGGGCACCCACTTGTCAAACTTTTTTACCTTGCCAATTTGATGCAAATTAACCACTAATGCTATTGTCGAAAGCTACTGCTAATTCAGCCGTAAATTAAGGTGTCATCAGCTTCCACAATCGCCTTTAATTCGTCATTGCCAACCACTGACCAACTTTTTGGATGACCACGGGGTTTCAATTTTGAGGTCGAAATTTTCAGTCTTCATGTTGTGCCGCGTTGCTGCCACATCTGTACTCATGTTCCATAATTAATTGAATTTTTAATGTATCAATGATGTCGAAAGATTGAAATGCGATGAAAATATTACACTTATCAATAAACAATTGGTTAATTTAAAAAAAAGAATTTCGTGTTTTTAATTCATCAAACAAAAATTATTTTGAATTGAAATGGCCAGTACTGCAGAGTGGCAATTTCATAGGTAGACCTATTATTGTTTATGAAATGCTCAAAATTTTTTAATGAATATTTATCAATAAATGAGTTCCATGAGAACCCATTACTCCATATCTTGTGGGCCAGTAGAATGAGGTGATTATGGGAAAGGCTAGAAAAATCTCAAAATCTCGCTCCTGATAGATGAAGGTATCAGGGCGAGATGAGTTTTTTATTATTTTTTTTTTTTTCCATCTTGTTTTTGTCAGGTGATAGGGATCAACTTCAAAGGAGTGAGTCGGCTGGCATCACAATCGTCAATTTGCCAGCCAAATGTGGCATTTTGATATCGGATAAGATTAACTTAGTGCCATATGCCATATTCTAATATTAGATACATGTAATCTTTGTATAAGGTTTACTGTCTATACACTTCCCACTCGGGCACAGGCCTCATCGCATTTTTGAGAGTTAGTACAAGGAAGTGTCCACTGCACTACCTCTATGAGTGTTGGTAACTTCACATGTCTGAAATATTTTTCTTCCTCACCAAGTTTTTTTTAGCGCCGAGCACTTTGTAAATCAGCTTTTAAAATTGCAATTAACAATTTCACTGGTGCCGGTGAGTTCGGACCTGGGTTGCTTGCATACTGTGAAATTTACAGAGGGAGTCTTTGTAAGTTATACTGCAATGTAATGCTCTCAGATCTGATTGCAGCCAGATTACTTTTCAGAAAACCAAATTGAAAAAAAAATGTAATACCAATTTTTCACTTGTAATTATTGCAGCATTAAGAAAAACCCACCAAAGACGAAATCAAGAGAGGAGTTAGCAAAATGGCTGTGTGAAAGACACAACACAGTTAATATTAAATTAGACAAGCCAGTTTTCGACTGTAGTAAAGTGCATGAAAGATGGCTCGACGGCTGGTCAGATGGTTCATGTGACTAATATTTTTCATTTTACAGTGAGTGTTGCCATTTACATTACATTATTTAGAGTATTTATATTGAGACCCTTAAAGTAAGGAAATCTTGATTTTTTTTAAATTGACAAAAATGTAACCTACAAACAATTCTGTGGAACTGTCAGAATTAAAATTGTATTGTGTTATTTTAGGATCACAAATTTTTTTTGTTTTTATAATTGATTTGTAACATGAATCTAATGAACAAATGGTTTGAACTCCCTTTCGAATTTTATATACCTATTACTGTTTGAAATGGCATAATATCGAAAATGGTTTTCAAAATATACTTTCCATATTACATTTGTGTTGCCATGAAGTGAATAATAATTGTGATAAATATATAGCAACATTGTTACTGTGAAACTCCTAATACCTCTAATTACATCTTGTATTTGGATGTGTTTTAATTTAGAAGAATTTTTGCAGTGTACTGAACATAACTTGTGGATAATTAATTCAAATGCATTCACTTGTGATGTTTAAATTTCATGTAGACTTAGTTCAAAGTGTTAAAATGTGTTATTTTTAAAATGTATAATATACATTGCTTGTTATTTGTAATTAAATCACTTTATTGTTTTATTTGTGTTTCATATCATATTCAGAGATATTATTATTAAGTATGTATGTGGTACTATGCTTAATGTGGTAGAGTGAAACTGCAGCTATATTATGGTTGTAGCACAAATAGGTTGGCTCCACCGGGGGAAATACCACACTCTCACAGAATACCAGCGTAAAATAGCATCTTAATACTGCTGTGTTTCATATGCTGAGTGTAGATATCTGGAGACCCCTTTTACTGGAAACGAGGCATTCTAAGTCCTTAGGGGTGACAACGCATCTGCGTTTTGATTGACAATCGAGGATAATGTAGATGTCCATGGTCCACAGTATCCACTTACCATCCATCAGGTGGACTGTGTGCTCGTTTGTTACCCTTATATATATAAAAAAGTAAGCTGTCATACTAATGAATTTAATAAATAAAATACTTAATTCTTTAAAACGTTTTATTGATAAAAATGCATTGAAAGTACATAGTTCATTGCCACTAATTCTTAAAGATTAAGGAGTACATTTTAGCTTAAACAACAAATTAAGCAAAAAAAAAAAGTCATTCAAAACATTCAAGTCAAGTTCACATTCAAAAAAACGTTCGGAGTGAGACAAGTCACTGTTTGGTTTGCTCTCATAAGAATTCCATTTCCCTCTCGATGCCAACAAATTTGAGCTGTTCCGTTGGTCCATATCTGAAAACAAAGAAAAATTCTGTATAATATAAATTATTTAAGAAAGGATACATATTAGTTAACCTTTTGAGCGCTACGCCACAAACGCATTCCCGTGTCCTATACGCCAAACCACAAAGTAAACAAAAATACCGACGGAAAAAATGGTGCTGCCAAGTGTTGATATATTGCTTAATATACAGTGATTTGTTTTTGTTGGTTTTTATGCCATAAATGACTACTTATAATCTGGGATGTTTTATTTTATCTTGCGCTATCTGCCACTCTTTGTATATATGTACTTAGTACATAAATAAAAAAACAAACAATAGCAATAAAATAGTAATAAACCACAGCACTACTCTCCATCGTGATGACATCACTGTCACGACTGGACGACATCGGCATAGCTGACGTTACTTTTTGAAAGTTCCTTAGAGATGTAGCCGTGTCGCACGTTGTGTATCCATTTCGAAATTTTGTGAGACTATTTTTTTTCCGGGACGTCTATGGTTCCTATGGTGCCACGATTTGATTTTTCGATATCTCCGAGATATCGATACTCAAATGTCGAATACTTAAACCGAATCAGCACGCCCCGACTCCACGTAGTCTTGTCTGTCCTACCCCTAGAGTGGTTTTGTAAAGCCGTAGCCGCGGAAGGAGAGCAGCCCCCGCCCGCTGTAGCAAATTGCAGGCAGCGAGATTGCGAGCCGTAGCGGCCGAGGCTGGACCAATAAGTCAAAGTTGCGGAGGTGAGCATGGGTGCCTGCAATTGGCTACGCAAGAGCTAAGGGGCTGACTTCCCGCAGCGCCGAAGCCGTTACATAAGTAACTTTGGGTAAATATTCCTATGTAAAAAATAGGGTTATGATTTTACAAAAAAATTTGGCGATTAAGAGGTTAATAATTAGCTTTATACGTGGTAGAGCCACGCTGCAGCTATATTATTATTGTAGCACAATGGGGTCCGCTCCGGGAATCGGGCAACCGGGGAGGACCACGCTCTTACAGAATACCGGCTTAAAATAGCAGCTTAATGCGGCTGTATTTCGTATGGTTAGTGTACAGAACTGGAGACCAATTTTATTGGAAATGAGGCATCTCATCTTAGTTCTCAAGGGTGATAACGCATTTGCATTTTGATTTTTAATTGATGCTATCATCAATTAAAAATTAATCATCTATATGTAGATGTCTATGGGCATAGCATCCACTTACCGTTAGATGGTCTGTATGCTCGTTTATCAGTGCATTGGCAGATTTAACGTGTCATGTTTATAGTTCTGAATACGGTAATTGATATAATTTATTTAGCCAATACTGAAGCTGTGCATTTGTTGGCACTGACCTGTAGTCGAAGAAGAGTTCCTCTCCTGGCTGTATGGCTCGCTTGGCGAAAATGCCAATGCGGTGGTCGCCGTTCACCATCATAACCTTCGCGTAGCAGTTCGGGTTGATGGAGTGGTTCGCGAAACGGATCTTGTTGCCTTTTCGCGTTGCGTCCACCACGAAATCTAGCATGATAGAAATAAAAGTAATTAAATTAATGAGAAAAATATACTTTGCAGTTTAAATGAAATCTAATCTAAACTTATTTACATGGTCATAGATATATTGAGGTAACAGCATACATGCGGCCCAGTATTGGGCGCTCATAAGAATATCACAGATATAAAACAATCACCAAAGAGTGTATAATCACTACCATTACTGAATTTTTCACATTCAAGTCGTAGTTAAGGCACACACATAGTTTATAGAATAATAAGTTTTTAGGAAGAAAATATTTTATTCGTTTTAGTTCTTTTGTAGTGTAGGACCTATGATGAAACAACCTAACTCTGTCTGGAACCACGCAACACAAATCCTTCTCCCTACCTACGTACCTATGTCACACTATATTATATAGGTCTCTCTCCATTCAATAAAGTTGTTGTTAAACTGCACCAGTGAGTTTAATTTCTTGCCTTGCCCGACCAGTGGCGTAGCTATGCAACCATGGGCGCCGGAGCAAAAATTAAATTGGGGCCCTATTCGAACTAAACTCAAAACCTACTTTAAAGGTGCAAAACTAATTATTAAACAGCTCCTTACAGCCCACTAATACAGCATAATAAAGCAAAGTTACTATGTAGTATGTGTAATCAGCAGATAATATTTAATCGGACTTGCTAATATATAAATATTATATTAAAGAGGACATCCTGAGTAACTGACCCATCTATCAAAGCACAGCCACCGCATTACGTAGTAATCTGAAAATTTGACGGTAGGTGCCTTTTATAACGTAAGCATCCACTAAGAAATGATTTAGGAAGATTCAATCTCTATGAGGATGAAATAGAGTGTTATAATTTGTATGAACCTTTTAATTTTACGTGGCGATTAACTTGAAACTTATAAATGTACTTTGTATATTACATGGTAGAGCCACGTTGAAGCTACATTATGGTTGTAGTACGAATGGGTCGGCTCGACCGGGGTAAGATCACGCTTTCACATAATACCAACGTAAAGCTCAAACCGCAAAACGTAGAAGCATGAAAATATTACAAAATAATTTCAATTTAATACCTAGGTAGTTAATTAAGTAAGACAAGATTTTAAGAAATTCAAGCGCTCAGAGTGTGAAATAAGGTGTTTGTATGACACTTTTTATTTTACAGGGCGATTGACTGTTGACTTTTATTTTTATTATTATATTTTTACTTTTATTATTAGAGTATTAAATTAAATTAATACGTAGTTTTCCATTTCTCAAAATAACGCTTTACCCATTTACTTCTTTTAAACTCCACAACCAACCGATTGTAATACGTTTTCACTGTCATTTAAAGATGTTTTAAGGAAGGTTAGTATGTACAATACATTCTAGTTAAGTTTGAATACGAACGTAGTAGAAAAAGTTCAAAATTTTGTAATTAAGTGCAAAAAAACTTAGCGATCAGCCGCCGTAGAGTCTACATCACCCGAAGAAGCCTCGTGTACAGGCGAAACACGTGTCGTATTATATTAGTATATATTAGATCACGCGATTGAGGGAGGGCGGGAGGTGCTCTTCAATCCAGGTAAGATACATCATTGTATTTAATTGAGCGGATGATTGAGAATTTATACGTGGTAGAGCCACGCTGCATATATATTATGGTTGTAGCATGAATGGGTCGGCTCGACCGGGGAAGGACCACGCTCTCACAGAATACCAGCGTCAAATAGTAGCTTAATGCTGCTGTGTTTCGTATGGTGAGTGTAGAGAACCGGAGACCCATTTTACTGGAATCGAGGCATTCCACCTAAGTCCTCACGGGTGACAACGCATCTGCATTTTGATTCATAATCGAGAATGGATGTAGATGTCTATGGGCCACAGCAACCACTTACCATCGGGTGGACTGTGTGCTCGTTTGTCATTCTATTCTATAAAAAAAATTAAATATTAATATCTTTATTATAATGAATTTTCGCAAACACCTGCTTCTATCAATTATCTAAATAAAATTATAATAATGATTAACAATTTTAAAATAATATCTTAAAATAATATCTTAAAATACAACAACAACAAACACTCACCGTTATTAAGATTGAATAGAAACGAGCACATATACTTGTCGTAGACTTTTCCGCGCCTGTCAGCTTCGTCCTGCGAGATGATCTCCCCACAATACTCCGAGATGAATTCGTTCTTGTGCGCAGCCTCCTTGAGGAAGATGCCCCAACCGGCCACATCGGACGGCGCCAGAAGTAAATGCTTATGTAGACCCCTGAAAACAACAAATGATATTAAAATAATGGTGATTAAGACCGTGAATGTGAAAAATTAATATGCCATCAAAACATAACTTATAAAAAAAAACAAGTCTCACAACTCAGTTCTTCTATCGTAAAAAATTGTGAGATCCGTGTAATACCAAGTCGGTTAATTTATTCAGCCCCTACTTAAGGGTCCTTCAGTATTAAGTTATTACGTAATTAGCTAACATAACAACATCTTGTGACCATATCAATTTTAAAAATCTTTTATGTTTTAAATAAATAGATTAACTTGGCAATCGCACTAATCAATCGATTGTTATATAATATGTACATTGTGTGAGATACATTGTGTTTTCATGCGATGGCCCAAGTCAATCTATTTATTTAAAACATAAAAAAAAATTTAAATTGATATGGTCACTATATCTTGTTATGTTAACTAATTACGTAATAACTTAATACTGAAGGACCCTTAATTAGGGACTGAATATAGTGACCATATCAATTTAAATTTTTTTTATGTTTTAAATAAATAGATTGACTTGGGCCATCGCATGAAAACACAATGTAAAATCTCTCACAACAATGTACATATTATATAAAAATCGATTGATTAGTGCGTTAATTGCCAAGTTAATCTATTTATTTAAAACATAAAAGATTTTTAAAATTGATATGGTCACAAGATGTTGTTATGTTAGCTAATTACGTAATAACTTAATACAGAATGACCCTTAATTAGGGACTGAATAAATTAACCGACTTGGTATTACATGGATCTCACAACTTTTTACGGTAGAAGAACTGAGTTGCGAGACTTGGTTTTTTTTTACAAGTTATGTTTTTGATGGTATCTCATTTCTTTTTATAGATAGTCCTACTTTTTTCGTTCCGGTACCTTCTACTTCATAAATACCAACAAAGTACCAATCTACACCTTTTATTCCATTATATTACAGATATCATTATACACGTACATTGAACCATTCACTGCAAATGTAACTTTGTAATCCTATATTTTTATATGCGATTACAAAGTTATTTATGCAGTTAGTGTATCTAGAAAACTGGACCGAAATTGAAAACTATTTTAGTTTTTCTTTGTACACGAAACACTTATTATGTTCTAAGTTTGAAGCTTTCATGTCTGCTAGAAGTGTCATAGAGTTTTGATGATCAGTCAGTCAGTGAGTGACAAAATTAAGAAAATGATTTATTATAAGGTTCAAATAGAATAAAATTTAAAATATACCGTGTCTATACAATGCCTGCTTGGTTTCTGAAAATTAGGCGGCAGTAGGTGTACTGGCTGTGCGCTGTGGTACCTCTCCACGGAGACGTTGCGACAGTAGGCGTGCAGGCTGTGTACTGCGGTACCTCTCCACGGATACGTTGCGGCAGTAGGCGTGAAGGCTGTGTACTGCGGTACCTCTCCACGGACACGTTGCGGCAGTAGGTGTACTGGCTGTGCGCTGTGGTACCTCTCCACGGAGACGTTGCGGCAGTAGGCGTGCAAAGGCTGTGTACTGCGGTACCTCTGCACGGACACGTTGCGGCAGTAGGTGTGCAGACTGTGTGCTGCGGTACCTCTGCACGGACACGTTGCGGCAGTAGGTGTACTGGCTGTGCGCTGTGGTACCTCTCCACGGAGACGTTGCGGCAGTAGGCGTGCAAAGGCTGTGTACTGCGGTACCTCTGCACGGACACGTTGCGGCAGTAGGTGTACTGGCTGTGCACTGTGGTACCTCTGCACGGAGACGTGTGCGGCAGTAGGCGTGCAGACTGTGTGCTGCGGTACCTCTGCACGGACACGTTGCGGCAGTAGGCGTGCAAACTGTGTACTGCGGTACCTCTGCACGGACACGTTGCGGCAGTAGGTGTACTGGCTGTGCACTGTGGTACCTCTGCACGGAGACGTTGCGGCAGTAGGCGTGCAGACCGTGTACTGCGGTACCTCTGCACGGACACGTTGCGGCAGTAGGCGTGCAGACCGTGTACTGCGGTACCTCTGCACGGACACGTTGCGGCAGTAGGCGTGCAAACTGTGTACTGCGGTACCTCTGCACGGACACGTTGCGGCAGTAGGTGTACTGGCTGTGCGCTGTGGTACCTCTCCACGGAGACGTTGCGACAGTAGGCGTGCAGGCTGTGTACTGCGGTTCCTCTGCACGGACACGTTGCGGCAGTAGGCGTACTGGCTGTGCGCTGTGGTACCTCTCCACGGACACGTTGCGGCAGTAGGCGTGCAGGCTGTGTACTGCGGTACCTCTGCACGGACACGTTGCGGCAGTAGGCGTGCAGGCTGTGTTCTGCGGTACCTCTGCACGGACACGTTGCGGCAGTAGGTGTGCAGGCTGTGCGCTGTGGTATCTCTGCACGGACACGTTGCGACAGTAGGCGTGCAGGCTGTGTACTGCGGTACCTCTGCACGGACACGTTGCGGCAGTAGGTGTACTGGCTGTGCGCTGTGGTACCTCTCCACGGAGACGTTGCGACAGTAGGCGTGCAGGCCGTGTACTGCGGTACCTCTGCACGGACACGTTGCGGCAGTAGGCGTGCAGGCTGTGTACTGCGGTACCTCTGCACGGACACGTTGCGGCAGTAGGCGTGCAGGCTGTGTACTGCGGTACCTCTGCACGGACACGTTGCGGCAGTAGGCGTGCAGGCTGTGGACTGAGGTAGCTCTGCACGGACACGTTGCGGCAGGATTCGTAGGCGTGCAGGCTGTGTACCGGCTGTGGTACCTCTGCACGGAGACGTTGCGGCAGTAGGCGTGCAGGCTGTGTACTGCGGTACCTCTGCACGGACACGTTGCGGCAGTAGGCGTGCAGGCTGTGTACTGCGGTACCTCTGCACGGACACGTTGCGGCAGTAGGCGTGCAGGCTGTGTTCTGCGGTACCTCTGCACGGACACGTTGCGGCAGTAGGCGTGCTGGCTGTGCGCTGTGGTACCTCTGCACGGATACGTTGCGGCAGTAGGTGTGCTGGCTGTGCGCTGTGGTAACTCTGCACGGAGACGTTGCGGCAGTAGGTGTGCAGGCTGTGTACTGCGGTACCTGTGCACGGAGACGTTGCGGCAGTAGGTGTACTGGCTGTGCGCTGTGGTACCTCTGCACGGACATGTTGCGGCAGCAGGCGTGCTGGCTGTGTGCTGTGGTACCTCTGCACGGACACGTTGCGGCAGTACGCGGTCTGGCTGTGTGCTGCGGGCGCGTCAGCTCCACACGCCACGCACAGGTCGGGGTCGCACTCGCGTACGCCCAGGTAGCAAGGGCACTGCTTCGTGTTGCACTGCGCCTTACACCGGCATCCCGGGAACCGATTCTGACCTGTGATGCGTAAACAATATCTTAATCTTTACTTACACGGTCTTGTAAAGATTTACTTACTATCGCTTACTTTACATAAATATAAATTATCTATGTATGTGTTTGTTCCTTTCTACTTTCATTTACTGAACAAAAGCAACTTAAAGCATTTTTAAGGACGCGTTCACAGATCCGACAAAAATAGCGTAATAATGTGGGTAATACGCCAGATTGGAGCTTTTGTCTTAGTCCATCTTCATGAGAAAAAACCTTTATCTTCAAAATACTTGTAGCATAGTCGATAATTTTTAAAAACTCTTATTTCTCTACTACTTTTAACAATTTTTGTCGAAAGTCAATATTCTAAAAAGTCAGTCATGGCTTGAGTTTTATTCCAGCCGTTCGCCGTCATGACAGCCTCGAACTGAATTTTGTAGGTCTTCCATGAGGAAGTCCCATCGAACGGCGAGACTAGCGTAGCGAAAGTGTTGTAGTTACTACGGGAGCTTACTACTTACTTACTACTATCGTCTCTGGTCCGTCTCTTGCCCTGACTCCGGGCATGGATACCCTCCAAGTCGTCCTTAGGTAAAATCGTCATGATTTTATCCCACTTTTGACACCAATTGTTACGAGCTTGTGGTTCGTGACAAAAAAAACTGCCTATTGAATTACCAAAATTGACACTTTAATTACCGAACACCAATTACAACTTAAAACAGACTAATAATAAAACACAATTGCACTACTGATCGCTTTAGTTCGCAGCTTTATATCGCTTCGAAGTATTCACTTTAATCGCCAATTTAATACTGTCCTTACCGGCCTTATACAAATTGTCCCAGAACGTAACGATCAAACGAAAGAGGGTTGGTTGTAGACCATGTGAGAACTATTCAAAAAAAAATTAAGTCCTATACCCAAATTGCGTGGTTTAAAAGATAAAGGGTGATTTATAAATTTTACAGAAAATCAGCCTTTGCGTCAATATTTTTGATGTTGCATCTGCAAATGAGGACCGATTTAAAAAAAAAAACTGTTTTGTATAGTCTAATAACTATTTTATTTTTCGGTGCCTATTACGGTTTGGTAGAAATAAATACATAAAAATTCGTTAAAGTGAAAAAATGTAACATTAAAGTTTTATCAAGCAAGTTGGACTCTTCATACTGTAAAAAATGTACCCTAATGGACCTGGCCCTTTTATTTCAATGGCCGTAGCGAAAGGAGCATTTTCGTGCAGAGTAGAAATTCCTGGCCCTGGCCTGTGTGGGCCAATAATAGGCTCTACTACTTCCTCGTGGTGTTTTGTGTAGTCATGCTGCCTTGGATCCAAACGAGCTGGGTTCGTCCGCCAAGACGAATTCCTGCTCACACCATGATTGTCCCGCCTTGATATGAGTGGACCTCCTGAGCGTGCCGTAGATAGCTAGCTTTCCCTGGAGTTCTCTAAACACGTGTTCTTCGTGAATCCGGATAAATCCCAAACCGGAACTTATCGATGAACAGCACTAAAAACCATTGTTCGCCACTGCATGGTATATGCTCTCGAGCCCACGAAAGCCGCCGACCGCCAACTATGATTTCTTTATAAAAAACGTTTCATAAACAGATTGTAGTTAAGTAAGTTACTGGTTGTTTGGATCATCATGTTTACAATACATATGTGTATTGCCCGCCGTGTTATATTGATGGAAACGATATCAAATGTATCGATATTTTTTCAGGGCTGGTCGAGCATCTTACCGAAATGAAGATATTGGATACGTTCAAGTGAAACGTGAGAGCTCTAAATGCACAGTGAAAGCTAAGAATTTCACCTGAACATAAATTGAAAAGTAAGGAGCGGTGGAAAGTGTAGTCTGTCATGATGGTGCTAATCAAGGAGGATGCAAACACACTGTTGCATTTTTGATATGGCTCTTTAGAAGAAGTGAGAAACCTGCCACTACGTCAATAAACTGTTACTGGACAAAACCAGCACTTTCTTACTTTAATGTTGGCAGTCACATTAAATTTATACAGCTAAAGGTTTTTTTTTAATTTTTAATTAATTAATACAAGCTTACCCTTTTTAACTAAATCCGCTTCATGAGTTTGCACCACTTTTTATTTGTTGGTATATTATTTGGTACACGAAAAAAAATTTATTGGGATTTTTAACTGTTGTGCTTTGACACATAGAATCAATACAATATTTGTGGGGCATTTTTTTAACTTCTGCCATCGGTTAATAAACAAAATACGAATCGAACGGCGCAAGAGACTACACAACAATTTATTTGTACGTACTAGGCGAATACGTACTGCGTTGCCTAGGTCAAATGACATCACACGATGGAACGCCACGTGCATTAAGTTATATGTACTACGTACTACAGAAGCTATTACCAAACAAAAAATGTGCCCTACTCTGTTTATTTTGCATATGTGCTAATTTAATATAAAATTATTCGCTCCGCACTGCATGAATATCGAAACCACAATAAGAAGTGTACGGATTGCAGTACAGTTCAGTTGAACATAGTGAGTGTTCGGAATGCCATATCTAGTGTTTAGTACATATATATCGATGGCCGCGTGTAACAAAATTATTTTTGCAAGCGCAACTTCAGTCCCATAACTTTTTCATTTCTAGAGATATTTTATTGATTCTTTCACGTATTTGTTTTATTATAGTCAAATTTTTATAATTTATCAATTTAAAAAACAAGGAAACTTCTCCATTCCTTCGTCACCTTGGTCTCCTTTTCTAAAGGTTACACCTCTACCGCGTGCAAGCTGCACACATGTTTCTTTAAATCTATATATATATATATATATATATATATATATATATATATATATATATATACATATTAATTTTAGACAGTTGAAAGTAATTTTATTTAAATTTAATTTTAAATAATCAGTGAACTCACAGTCGCTGCTGCACTGGCAGAACTTTTCGCAGAAGTTCTGCGACTGTAAGCACGGACACATGTTGTCGCACGGCTGGTTCGGATGGTCGCAAGGCGTGTAGTTGTAGCTGCAACGAAAGAAATATCAGCACTCTTCCTTACAAACTTCATCATCATTACAGCTGTGGGATCACTGTCGTCAACAAGGGAAACGCACTGAAGCCTAAATCACGCTATCAAAGTTCCGAAGTACTCCAGTATATATAGATTTTTATATAATAAGAGTGATAAACGAGCAGATCTATCCTCAGTTAAGAATCAAAATGCCGATGTGTTTACCTCTGAGGACTTAGATTGAGTGTCTTCTTCCAGTAAAAAGCGGCCAAGCGCGAGTCGGACTCGCCCATGAAGGGTTCAGTAGCAGCAAGTAACATAATATAAAAGTTCTTGTAGTTCGTTGTAGTTTGATCGATGTTCTAATAATAGTGTATTTTTAAAAAAAATACACTATTAATAATAATTAATAGTGTTTTTTTTAAAAAAATACACTATTATTATATATAATTTAAAAATTAAGTTATTGATAAGTAAACATTATAAGTAGGTACCTAATTGATGGGATATAATGTTTATGAAATTAAATGTTTTTTTTTATATTTGAGTTGATTCAATGAAGGGTAAATTGATAGATTCAGGCGTTACTTTGCGGAAATCCATTATAATAATTAAATATAAATTTCTTCGCAACCTTCCGCTAAACAAATACAACGATGTGTCTTACCTGGATTGAAGAGCACCTCCCGCCCTCCCTCAATTGCATGTACTAACTCCGTCACCACTAATCCCACTATTCCAGGCAAGACACACCATCGACAATAATACGACACGTGTTTCGCCTCTACACGAGGCATCTTCAGGTAATGTAGACTCTACGGAGGCTGACCGCTAAGTGAGCGGCGAGCCGAAACAGCTGCTATTTATACATGCCGATACAATCGCTCCCCACCAAAGTAGCGAGTGACCGCGCCGTGCGATAACAAACCTGCTACTAATTATCATTATTGTTATGATTAATATTTTTAAATACTATTATTACAATTGTTTTATTGATATTATTACAGTTGTTTATTATTATTAATCTAAAAATTATTATTAAAGATTGGCCTTAAAGATATTTAACAAAGGTGAATTAGAAACATTTGTTTGTTCATTCAGCAGTGCATAATTACCATTATTACTTTTTAAAATCTCCAACTGCTCCAGCACACACAGCCGCAGCCCCTTATTACAAGTATGTAGAACTTCAAAGCTGGTCAATGGTCGCTAGCTAGGTTGTGTCCAGTGTCCAAGAGATGTTTAGCAAAATGGGATTTATCAGGATTACAATTTCTATACGCGGCCAAATGGTCTTTATAGCGCGTCTCGAAATTGCGACCAGTCTGACCCACGTAAACGGCGTGGCATTCGTCACAAACAAGTTTATAAACACCCGATTTTTGATTAATATTTAACTTATCTTTATTATTACAAATATTCCTAAGCGAATTGTTTGTTTTGAATGCCACGCTAACGCCGTTTTTCTTAAGAATATTAGCTATTTTTTCCGATATGGAGCCTAAGTAGGTCAAACTACCCACATATCGCCGGACACTTTGAGATCGAACCGCGTACAAAGAATTGCGAACAACATGCTTTTGTTTCTTTTTAATAAAATTATTAATGAGACTTTTTGAAAAACCGTTAGAGACCGCAATTTGATAAATTATATTAAGTTCTTTTAAATAATTTTTTTTACTTAATGGAACAGTGAACAGACGGTTAATGTAACAATAAAAAGCGGCTAATTTATGTTGCCATGGATGACACGATGACGCGGGGATGACCGTGTCGGTATGAGTTGGCTTTCGATAAATTCGAAAAACATGCAACGACTCTTTTCTTGTTATTGTTACGACTCTTTTCTTGTTAGTGTTAAATCAAAGAAATTAAGGGAGCAATCTTGTTCCAATTCAAGCTTAAATTTAATTTTTTCGTAGACTCTATTTATTTTATTAAGAAAAACATCCAGTTGTCTCCCTGTGCCTGTCCAGCAAATAATTATGTCGTCTACATGTCGATAATAGTATAAGATATTTTGGTTAACAACTATATGTTGTTTTTCGAAATTATCCATGAAAATGTCCGCCATAAGTGGACTTAGAGGGGACCCCATAGCTAACCCTTCTTTTTATAGATAGAAACGGTTATTAAACCGAAAATAATTTTGTTTCATACAGAGAGAGGTTAAGTTAAGAAGATCATTTGTTTCCCCGGGATGTAGACGACGTTTTTCAAAGAGATCTGAGAGTATACGCACACAGTCAGGGGATGGGACATTTGTGAAAAGACTATCAACGTCTAAAGATAACAACATAGATTTAGGTGGAATACGAATATCTTTAATTTTGGAAATGAGATCTAAACTATTTTTAAGGCTGTAAGTTGGGTTGAAACCAGATTTCTCCCGAAGGAGGAAGTTTAATTTTTCAGCAAGGAAATAAGCTGGTGCACCTATATATGAGACAACTGGACGAATAGGAACATGTTCTTTATGTAATTTAGGTAACCCATATAAAGTGGGTGCTTGAGGATTCATTGGAACAAGATTGCTTGCTCCTAGACAAGTTTTGATCGGGAAAACATATGATGACTTTTGTATACATACTTTAATATCCGAAGTAAACTTTTTGGTTGGGTCAGACTTCAACAATTCAAAGTCGTCACCTTGGATAACCTCGTTAACCTTCTGGCTATACCCGCTACTCTCCATAATGACAACAGTATTTCCCTTGTCGGTCTTAGTAACAATAAGGTTATTGTCTTTTATTCTCTGTTTTAGTGACATAAAAATGGGGATCATATATATTTTTAGTTTTATCATTTTCTTATTTTAGAAGTTACAGGGAGGGAGGGACACACATTTTACCACTTTGGAAGTGTCTCCCGCGCAAACTATTCAGTTTAGAAAAAAATTATATTAGAAACCTCAATATCATTTTTGAAGACCTAACCATAGATACCCCACACGTATGGGTTTGATGAAAAAAAATTGTGTTTCAGTTCTAAGTATGGGGAATCTCCAAAATTTATTGTTTTTTTTTTCTATTTTTGTGTAAAAATCTTAATGCGGTTCACAGAAATAGTCTACTTACCAGGTTTCAACAGCATAGTTCTTATAGTTTCGGAAAAAAGTGGCTGTGACATACGGACGGACAGACAGACAGACAGACATGACGAATGCGTAAAGATTCCGTTTTTTGCCATTTGGCTATGGAACCCTAAAAATGGTCTCCGGTTCTCTACACTCGCCATACGAAACAAGCAACATTGAGCTACTATTTCACTCTGGTCTTCTGTGAGAGCGTGGTCTTACCTAGGTCAAGTCGCCCATGTAAAAATTATCATTGCAACCATTAATATTATCATTGCAGGCCTTCACCAGTCCACTGCTGAACATAGGTTGTCACTCCATCTATTTGTTATATATAGAAAGTCCAAATCACATTTGAAAGTACTAACCAATAACACAAGCCCAAGGTGATGATATCTTGAATATTGTTTACATATCAAAAACTTCATCAATATCAACGCTGTAGTAACTCAGTTACTGTAGCATCATGTCGAGTCGGTGGCCTTTTTTTGTTGTCGGTAAATTAATGTACACGTTAAATAATAATGCTGAGAATGAGGTAATCACTACCATAAAACTTCCAAATGTTTTCATGCTTAAATGTATAGAATATAATATTGTAAATTAATGTTTTAATTTGTTCTATTCTATTCTGTTATTTAAAAAGAACGCAGCAATAAATAAATATGTTCGCTCTTTCTTTCTTTCAATAAAAAAAAATCATCAAAATCGGTTCATAGCCGATGATGATAGCAAATATAGCAAGTCTTGTTAAATTAGAATGTTCTATTTTTCTAAGTCAGTTAAGGATCGGATGCTGCACTCACACGTGATGCGAGGCGGAGTCCTTCTTGAGCTGTATCTTGCGGCAGTGCACGGACCAGAGCCGGTGCTTCTTCTTCTTCTTCCTGGGGGGAGTCAGATCCGCCTCCACGCGGCACTCCTCCTGCCCCGTGTTGATCCAGTACGCGTACACCTGCGGATCATTCATTCATATATTCGTTGCTCCACACAACCTTTCAATGTCCACTGCTGAACGTAGGCCTGAACACAGATTGCCTTATAAGAAGAATATTTTCTATAGTTGCCACACTGGGCACACAGGCTGGCTAGGTTTTATTAGGATTAAACATGGCCGCAGGAGTCGAATGCGAGTCAGTTACGTGACACAACTATTTTGTATCGATAATTTATTATGTTTGGCTTACTTAGTTTTAACGAAACAGGAATTAAATGTGATTTTTCTTTAAATGTTTATTTACACCTTTCTACTTTTTTTCTTTCTAAATGTTTTATACCGTTAACCGTTTATCGGCGATTATCTGTTTGTTTGTACTTTTAAATTAATTGATAAATTTTAATCAGTTATATTGTAAGGATAAGTAATTATATTGTAAGGATAGTAGTCTTAATTCGATCTGTAAGAAGCCGTAAAACGGAAAAGTAGCAAACAACATAAAGTCAGTTACAGATCTTTAAAACTAATAAAAAATGATAAATATGTCACCCATACATGTATTTATTCGTTTGCTGTTTGTATTATGTTGTATTCATTTTAGTTATACATCTGTTTATTTAATACAATGCTTTTATTACAAGTTTCCAAAAGATCCGGTAATCAAAGATAAATGGATATATTTATTCTTAACGTATTATTATTTTCCTTTTTTTTCTAATTATAAAACGTCTAAAAGCTAAAGCTTAGACTAAAAGCGTCTATTACTGAGACAATTTCAGTTAATTAGTTATATATTGGTGTGAGACTCCTGGAAGATCAACGACGCTTAATAGAAAGTTATCGAAACGTGTGTTGCGCTGAACTATGCCCAAGTGAGAGCGAGTGCGCAATGTCATTCTCTGTTTTTCGCACACTTTAATTATTGGACCGAGTGGCAACGCCTCCTGAGATTTTGCGTTTTTATAAAATATTCCTTAACGCAATAGTTTACAAATTAATCTTTGTTGCATGAATGCTAGAGATATTTGTAGGCGTAATTGTGTATTTATTGTTTGTCTATGTGTGAGAGCTACGGTCTGGCGACACGCGTCCCGTTATTAAAAGACAGTAGAAGGCACTTCTATTGTCTTAATATTTAGATTTCTGTGATAGTAAATAACAGACTAAATGAGCAAGACGGAAAAGTAGAGAAGATAACAAAACTGTCTTAGTCTTGCTTTGCTCATCACTACACGGTAGTTATTCATTTTTAATCTTCATTGCACACATATTACATAAATACTATCATATATAATATGATATGTGTACCACAAACATAATAAAATAGTAGATAAATAAATATATATTCATCTACCAATTATATACATTTTCAACAATACAGGATTACCTAGTGTGGGCAGTGGCGAAGCTAGGGCTCCAAACTACGGCAAGCCCAAGATATGGTTTTGCTATTTTTTTTTTGACACAACAAAAACAAACATAAATGGTGTACTTGAAAACGTATCGCCCGCACGCCTGCGCACTCCTAAAAAACTTCAGAGCAAAGCCCAGCTTTTGGTTCCATAGTAATTGCTATATAAACATTTCGTAGTTATATTTTATTATAGAACATTTTGCTACATGTTAGAAAGGGAGCGATCGTCTTCTCGAAAGCCCGGTAAAAAGCCAACGCGTGCGAGAGAGACGACTAATAGCTCAAATCAACTCCTTGCTTTCATTAATTTTGACAGTCCATTGCGTGTTCGCTTTGAGACAGAGAGAATACGAATTAGTGTATTTCGAATTGAAAACAAACTGCCAAGTGTTGACGTTACATATATGCTATGAGGTCATGACCTGTCTAGACGCGGGACATTTGAAATAGTTAGAAACAATTTACGAGTTATTTTATTAGTTGATATTATTGATTGAGCAGATTGAAAAGGCAAACCTGGCTTTTCGACTTCTCTAGAGGCTTCGCCACTGAATGTGGGTTCCAACAGATACTATAGTAGTTTTCTCTCAAAAAAATTTTTTAAATTTTTTCATATTAATACATTTATGCTATATAAAGATTACAACAATATAAGAGAATGTGGTAATCATATACATTTAACATAGGACATAGTAGTACTTGTTTAACAATAAAGAATAAACAAAGGAAACATTTGTCGTGTGGTATATATACCAGATATAAAATACCCAGACCGGTGACAGTGGGTAGTCATAGGTGCGAGACGTCCGGTGTTATTACCTATCACATCTAATCCTTCCCACAATAGGAGAAATAAGAGACCCATCTCTTAAAAGTGTACCGTTACGAGCTAAGAAAATTTAACTTTTAAAATGTAAAAGCCAACTGCAAAGTAAAAATAATTACCAAGTAACTTAATTAACAACAGTAACAGTAAAATAATTAATAACTACAACCATGTAGTAGCGGTAAAAGAATATCCACTAGCCCATATCGTCTCGTAGGCGTCGTAAGAGGCGGCATAGGAAACAAGCCAGAAGATGGGCAGCGGCGTCTTCCTGATAACAACTCAAAATAATGAAAAACTGCGGTTGCCAACACGCGTGTCAAGCGTGCCAACTATGGCAACAAAAATCAAAATAATAAAAAATGCGGTAACTATGGCAAAATCCTCCTTATGCGACAAGCTATGTGAGATCTAGTGGAGAGGATGAATGAATGGATGAAAGTAACTACAGAAGTCAGTGCTAATACATAGTATAAATGAATTAAGCGTTAGAAGAGAAATCAATTTTCAGAAGCTCTTATGTAGAATTTCTTTTCTTTTTTCTTTCTTTTTTTATAGGACTGACTACCGCCGCCCATGAACAACTGCAACGCCCGGGGAATTGCAAGTGCGTTGCCGGCCTTTTAAAAATGTGTAGGCTCTTTTCTTGAAGGTCCTTAAGTCGTATTGGTCCGGAAAAATCTTTGGTGGTAGTCGAAACCACAAAGAAAGTTGTACGAGGAAGAAAACTACCCTTAATTTCTTTGAAGTCCACTTTTATTTTTAACTAAAATTTAAAAAAAATACCCCTTTTAAATGGATAAGAAATATCACAAGATCAAGGTAAGAAATAGAATGCTAATTAAAAAATGATGACATTTCATCCATTATTTGCTACCAAAAGCAAATTTTTATGGCACCGAAATATAACATCAAATGAAATCGATTTACAATTGGCCAATACATCGCGTAAAATACCATCCATAAAAAACAACATACAGACATTACAAGAGTTAAATTGCGAAAATAGACCTTTTTGACGTCAGCTAAAAGAGTAAAGATTAAATAAGAAAATGAATACCTGTTGGCACGTCTTGGACAGCATGACCTGAGCGATGGCGCAATAGTTGGAATGGAACACCTTATGCAGAGCTCTAAACAACGACTGGTCCGAACCCGTCCACTCAGAGTCTATGTCTCCCACCGTCAGACCTGAAGCAGTTACAATTCATTTGTTCAATTCATGTATAAAACTTAATTCATTTATGTATGCATTGCTTCTTAGTTTAGCAAACTTAGTTCTTAGATATTTTAGAGAATAAAGGTAACAAAAGAGCACACCATCCACCTGATGGTAAGTACAGGCTGTGGCCCATAGGCACTTACATCTATCTTAAATTAAGAATCGAAATACAGATGCGTTGTCACCCTTGAGGATGAAATGCCAGTAATAAGAATTTGAACAGAGATTGAAGAACAGATTGTGAGGTAGTCTTAATCCTCAGCAGTGACAACGCCTCTGTTTCATTAATAACAATAATAATAATCTTTATTGGCATAAAATTTGTTACAATATTATTTAAGCCTCTGACTCCCGAGCTAGATTAGAAAACCTGTGTTACGAGAGTCAGCGATCTCCCTAATATAATGACAGCTACTTATTTTATGTAAATAAAGCAATTTTAAAATCTGATGTAATCCGATGTAAAACATACCCAGTACGTTATACGCGGCGTCCGCGGTGGAGTCTGCGGGCTTGTTCTGGCAGCCCATGGAGCTCCAGTTGCTGTTACTCGAGTTACTGTTACTACCTGCAAAGAGAAACGGCACTTTGATCACACAAGAAAAATATATGATACTATTGTTTTGTGTGGCTAATGTAATAAATAATAATCAAGACTGTTCTTGTATTATTCACTTTGTATCATAATATTTAACGTTACAAAATGGTTACAAAATAACATCATTACAGTTCTTGAAAAACTTAAGTTTTCTATAATATATAATAATAATAATAAAAAGGCGTAGGCAACCCAACCAGATGAGAAAATTATATAGATACCAAAATAATAATAATAATAAATAAATAATATAATATAAATAATAATAATATATAATAATAATAATAAATAAATAAATAAAGGCGTAGGGAAGTAACGACCGCATCCCCCGCTGACGTAACAGTTATGTGACAAAACCGCTACGTCAGCGCAGTCAGTCAGCACCTTGCCAAGAGGTGTAAGTGTCGTGCCTCGGCAAAAATTGAGGTGCAAAGGCCCGCTTGTGCACATGGCCCCACCATGAAACGACGCCGGGTCTGGGCGTCTCCCGTTAAATGGCGCCCACTTATATGGATGATGGAATACGAGACGACGCGTAAAGGGCCGCTGCCTGGAGGTCGCCAGGGTGCGTCTGGAGCTGGCGCTGGACGCGACAGCATGCGAACCGCCAGCCGAGCGAGAGGTGCTGCACGACCACCCATCAGCCCCTCGCATCCATCATCCCCACCATCTGGCTTGGTGTCAGCAGGGTCTTCGCGGGCCCAGCAATCGGTACCCGCCACTGGTGGGGTACGCCGCATGCGATGGACAATCAAAATGAATACCAACGCACTGCGGGCGTATTTTAGGGCGAAAGGGGGAGAAGTTTGAGGTTTGGCATATCGGGCTAGGATGCATCGTCTTTTTGCTGAGCTGGAGCCATCTATAACCGTCACCGAGCAAAACCTGGCAGACCGAGTTCGGTATATCTTGCGCTCAAACATATTTGATGTTGCCGAACTCGAACGGCTACGTGAGGCTGTTCCTTCATCGAGTGAAAATGCTACGACTGAGGATGCGGCGCCACCAAACGTGGATGCCGCCGTGAATACCCCAGTTGTGGTTGATTCAAACGATGATGGAACAATCGCCCAGGAACTGGAACTAGAGCAAATGAGGAGTACATTGGAAGAGGCGATTGTGGAAACCCTCAGTACGCCTCTCGAAAATCGACCGCGACTTCCCCGCATAGCCCTAAGCAAGCGGAATCGGGCTGTCGTGAGAGCTCTGAACCCAATGCTGGTGACCTATTTGGAAGCCAGCCGGGACCTTTGCGAGACGGACTCAATTCTTTTTGGCGCCGCACTGGCAGTCTGCCGTATTATAGGCGCCAAACTCTCCACGGCTAGACGCGCTACTGGACAAAGTAGTGCTATCCCAGCCTGGAGAATAAGAATTGAAGAAAGTATCGCAAAGGCTAGGGCCCTCATCGGCAAACTGATATGCTTCAGGTCAGGTAATACTAGGCCAAGCCAAGGATTGTGCGCACCGTCAGGATGGCATTTGCTGGGATAAATGTTAGTTTGTCCCAGCCGGATATAATGCAAAAACTAAAAACTGACGAAGAGGGCCGTTAGAGCAATGTATAGTTTAAAACCAAAAGAGTCACTGAGACAAAAATTTAAGGAAATTAATATAATTAAATATAATTTTACATTTATGAAAATATAATGTACGTACACAAAAATAAAAGTAGTTTTGCGAAAGTAAGTGATATTCATTCTGTAAATACTAGGAACAGACACAAGCTAGTAGTAGTACCAGTTACTCGACTCCACCGAGTCAGTAATTCATTCTTGGGGCGATGTATACGCTTTTACAACAAAATCCCAGAAAATATACAAAATATATCATACACAAAGTTCAAAAAATTTATTAAACTAAGTTTGTATAAAAAGGGTTATTATAATATTAAGGAATTTATGGATGATAATAACCCCTGGGAAGGGTGATCGCTACCAAGCTATTTCTAATTTGTTTGTGTTGCTAATTGTAAACATGATTGTAAGCTATTATTGTAAAAAAAAATAGTTCCGCTGGGTTTCTTGCTGCTTCTTCCCAGGACAAAGTTTTTTTTGGGAACCAGTGGTAATGAAAAAAGTGACTTTCAATAAGTATTTGTTATAATCTACATTGAATAAAAAAGTTTCTGTTTCTGGAGCGCATAGACGACCTGAAACAGAGAATCGCTGCTTGGTGAAAGCGGATTCGGCGATATACCGAGAGGTCGACACGGTTCAACCAAATCGTCTCTTCCAGAGTGATCAGAAGAGGCTTTATCAATCATTGGAACGACCAATGGTAAGTGGAACGGGCCTAGCACCGAATCAGGCCGACACGGTCCCATTCTGGCGCAGCCTGTGGTCAGAGCCCGTAAACCACAATGAGGGCCCTTGGACGAAAGTTGTGGCGAGTGAGTGTGCGGGTATAACGCCCATGGACCCCGTCATCATAACGCCGGATGACGTAGCTGAGGCGGTCCATAGGGCCCCGAACTGGAAAAGTCCGGGGCTTGACGGGCTGCAGCACTACTGGCTGAAGGGGTTCATGGTGGGTCACGCTGTGCTCGCCTGACAGTTTCAAGAGGCTCTCAACCAGAAGTCGCTCCCAAGCCTCTTCACTACTGGGATCACTCATTTGGTTCCTAAAGACCAGGTTCCCACAGACCCGAGCAAATACCGCCCCATCACGTGTCTACCGACCATATACAAGACACTAACATCCATTTTGAGCGCGAGAATCACTCGTCACCTGGACTCAAATGAGGTGATGTTGCGCGCTCAAAATGGAGTCGTGGAACCAAGGGACCACTCCTCATTGACGCGGTCATTGGCAAAGTGGTGAAACGCAACCGTCGGAACTTCTCCGCCGCCTGGATAGACTACAGAAAGGCATTTGACTCGGTGCCCCATACATAGCTAAAGAGGGTACAAGATTGACTGTACAGTTCGAGACTTCCTCGAGCAGTGTATGGGACAGTGGAGTATGATCCTCTGTCATTTAGGCGAGCAGATGACGGCTGCGGAAAGCCGCATAAGGATAAGAAGGGGTATATTCCAGGGCGACTGTCTGAGTCCAATCTGGTTCTGCCTCTCTTTGAACCCTCTCAGTACTTTACTGGAGGGCTCCGGGAGGGGATTTCAGCTTCGGAAAGGAGGTACAAAAGTGACCCACCTTTTCTATATGGATGACCTCAAGTTATCGCTTCCAGTCGCTCCCATCTTATGGAATTGCTAAACATCACTTGTGAATTTAGCAATTCTATTGGAATGGAGCTGGGGACGGATAAGTGTGCGGTCCTCCATGTTGAAAGGGGAAGGGTTGCTAACTCTGAGGGCATAGACTATGCCCGTCAACTTAAGGACCCTTTCCGAGGCTGAAACATACCGATACCTGGGTATGTCACAGAACATTGGTATCGATGAGGCTGGTATGAAACAGTCAGTTTGCGACATGTTTTATGCACGCTTGACCAAAGTGCTTAACAGCCTTTTGTCCGGTGTGAATAAGGCACACGCATATAACGGCTGGGTCATGCCTGTCCTTATGTATACCTTTGCCATACTCAGGTGGAATCAAACTTAATTTAACGCCCTGGATAGAAAAGTCCGCACTACCATGACGTCCCACAGGATGCATCATCCGAGATCGTCGGTAATGAGGCTGTACACGCCGTGAAAGCATGGTGGGCGTGGCTTCCTGAGCGCGCTCACCATGCATAATCGCGAAGTGTGCAGCCTCCGTAATAATAATAATAATGTCCTCCAGATCGAATTTCGGCTACGGCGGCCTGCCTCAACGGAGGCTAGCCATCGGCGCAGGGCAGGATTATAGTGCCCAAGTGTATGCGTAAGCACAGGTGCACTCTCTATTCCCTCACTCTCATAATCCGATGGGACGGTAAACCGACACGACCGGAGAGAGATCAGGCGCATGACCAACGGCTTTACATGCTTTCCGAGGCACGGGGGTAAGACACCGCCAACTTCCCGACTCCGGGCAACTACTGAGAATTTCTTGACGGAAAAACTCAATAATTAATTTTTTGGCCCGACCCCGGGATTCGAACCCAGGACCTCATGATCAGCAGTCGCACTACTACAACCACTAGACCAACGAGGCAATAATATAACCAAATAAAATAAAATAATATATAACCAATAAAATAAAATAATATGTAACCAATAACTAAAGTTCACAGCGATACTGCTTTACACCTAACGCACAATGTCCAAATAGTCATCACCTGTATACTACTGGTAGAATAATGTCAGTACCTGACAAAAAACGACTCGGCAGGGCATTGTTAATCATTTCTCAGCGACACTACTTGCTACAAGTTTGATTCCCGCACGAAAAAGTACGGTCTACAATTTTTTACCTGTACATAATGAATGAGTCGGCTCGAACATAAAAGGAGCAACAGTTGCTCGCACGAAAACCATCGTAAAATAACAGTATGACAGTGAAATCGACTGTCGCTCAAGTATCGAAATATGTCGGTACAAGGCTTCCAGCTTGTTTCAGACGTCACATCGAGCTATTCTCTCCAGCTTGTCACCGGGGAACGTACCTCACCTGGACCTGTTAGATCGGGGTTTTAGAATTTTTTTTAAAAAATACTTGAGGAATGGATCCCCATTTATTAGAATATAAATTACAATAATATTTAGAAAAACGAGGGATGTCCGAACGCGACGGATGTTAGGTCTCGACTGACTGTGGTTCTGGTGATAGGAACCTCTACCATGTTCACAAACAATGACTATAAAACTGTCAGATTCCAGTTTCTAGACCACTCAAATAGTATTTATTATTAAATAATTATTCTGGGGTGGTCTGCAATATCATATACTAGGTAAGGGTATAACAGTGCGCTCCGCAGCCCCACTACACCGCAGTCACAGCGCAGACCCACTACGCCACTTGCTCAGAACCACCCGGCCGCTAACGCATATTGGCTTCCTCTTGTATCAGTAACTATTAAATTA